GATTTTGGAATAGAGTAAACTAACTTCCTCACAAGCTTTACTTTTGGTATGATCTCTCCATATGATTTGAGACCATTGACAATCGTTGAAAATCTATCCGTCATAGCTTTGATATCTTCATCTGGTTTCATCCTAAAATTTTCATAGCTATGCGTTAGAAGACTAATTTTAGATTCTTTTACCTCGTCGGTGCCTTCATGAGTGACTTGTAGTTTATCCCATATTTCTTTTACGATTTTACAAGATGAAACTCTTTCATATTCATATGGTCCAAGAGCACAAAATATGATATGGATGACTTTGGAGTTGAGTTGGAACATTCTTGTTTCTCCTTCACTCCACAATCTTAGATGAGTGAGAGGCTTGATATATCCGTCTTCTACAACATTCCATGCTCTCATGTCACTAGCTTGAATGAAATACATCATCCTATTTTTCCAATAGGCATAGTTAGCCCCATTGAAGAAAGGAGGCTTGTTGACGGGCATTGAATCGAGATCGGAGTCGAAGTTTGAAGCGGAGGCCATTGATGACTTGATTATTGATGTAACTCTTCCCGAATCGACTCAAGAGGCGATTAAACCTTCAAATGAGTGAGGCTCTGATACCAATTGTTGAGTTAATCGATCGACGAAATTTGCCAGGAGGGGGTGAATTGGCAATTAAAAAATCTGGTGGAAGCTTTTGCAGAAAATTGAAAAGATTTGCACAATGATTTAGAGTGGTTCGACTTTCTCAACCAAAGTCTACGTCCACTACCTTAGCTATCCACACTAAGGATTTTCCAACAAATTCACTCATTTGTTCTTTCTTTTGAGGCCAAAGAGATAACCTTACAACACCCTCAAGAATATACCTAAATTCTTGAGAACACTATTTCTCAAAGAGAAGATTACAAATTTGCAAACTTACAAAGAAATCCTCACAAGGTAGATTGTTTGCACAATTCTAGAACAAAGAAAAGAACACTAAAAATGAATACAATTGAGTACAAGTAGTGTTCTTGAAAGCAAAATGAATATTGAATGAAAAATAGGCTTGAAATGCTCAAACTTGAGGTTTGATGCTTTCTCTTTGATTCTCTTTTGATTCTAGTTGCTTGTTGTTTCTTGTTTCTGATCAATGACTTCTAAGCTTGTTTAAATACACCTTCAAATGATTCTGAACGTTGGGGATGATTAGTGGAGTCAATAGAGCCGTTTAAGTGTGAAAACAATTAATTAAAGCAGTTGGGAGCGTCAGTGCATCGATGCATACCCTAGGTGCATCAGTGTAAAATTCAAATATTTTGACCGTTGGACTCTCAGTGCATCGGTGCACATCGGTGCACTAAGAGTGCATCGATGCATGAAATGCATTCGATGTTTTGAAAAAGCCTGAGTGCATCGATGCATGGTCTTGTGCATCGATGCATCAAATGCATTGAGTGCATCGATGCATAAAATGCATTTGATGTTTGAAAAATTAATTGGTGCATCACCTTGAAAAATTGATTTTAGGCTTGATTTTGGTTCAAAATACTTTGTGAAAAATTGTTTAAAAAATATATTAAGTATAAAACACAATTTTACACTTTTAGTAAAGTTTGAAATTGATCTTGAAAGACTTGGAGTAATAATTTGATATTCGATTAATTAAATCGAATATACTTAGAAAATCATTTATAAAATCTTAAAATTCATTTAACTTAATTTGTTATATCGAAACATAAAAAATGTTTTCAACAAAACATAATTCAACAATTAGTGAGGCCAACGAAGTAGGGCGATTCCCCCCCCCCAAATCACCATTTCCCCCCGAAAAATCACCTTTTTTTAATTATATACGTGTCAGATACTTTTAGAGAAAATATTAGTGATCTAGCACCCTTTGCAGAACGGCGTAGCCCATGCATCGCGCTTTACGCCACGTGTAAAGTCTAGTGCTATTTTCGTAATTTTTTTAAAATTATGACTAATATGTAATTAATTTCTGTTAGGGTGATTTTTGTGTAAAAATTTCAATTTATTTATTTTTTTGTGTGTCCTATAAAAACTTTCTGTATTAAAATCTTTAAATATTCTTTTGCAAATTATTTTATAACTCAACAAATTTTAATTTATTGCATGAAATTGCATAATAAATATAATTTAATATATGAAAACTTTGAGGGCAAGTAATTTAAAATATGAATGATTTTATAAAAGTTTTATAACTAGTATTTCGTTTACAAAATGATGATGATGATAAGAAATATTTTATAACTTAAAAAATTATAAATTTCATATATTTTTAAAAAAATTATTGACTTTTAAAATTAATTGTTTAAAAATAGAAAAATATTAAAAATAAACTTTTCATTACAATTGAAGGATCAAATGAATTATTATTCATTAATTATTATTTTTAATAATAGTTAATAAAGTTTATTCATTTTTAATAAAATTAAAATTTATCATTTATTTTATATTGAATAAAATTAATATTAGATATAATATTTTAAATATATAGGTGATATTTTTTAGTTTTACATTCTTTTTTTTATTGAATTTTGTTACAAGTTTAGAGAGTAACGCGAAAGAAAGGAAAATCTTTAGATTTTCATGTATGTATTTATACTTTTCTTTTAGAAATATTTTATCATATTTTTTCTTAATTAATTTGAATAATAAAAGAATAAATGATTAATTTGAATTACAACTCATATATTTAAAATTCAATAAAAAAATATAATAAAAAAAGAATTAAAAGTGAATAAAATTCAATAAAAAAGAAGAAGGTAAAGCTAAAAATATCACCTATATATTTAAAATATTCTTTTTAATATTAATTTTAAAAAATATAAAATAAATATTAAATTCTAATTTTATTAAAAATGAATAAATATTATTAACTGTTGTTAAAAAAATAATTAATGAATAATAATTCATTTGATCCCTCAATTGTAACTAAAAGTTTATTTTAATATTTTTATATTTTTAAACAATTAATTTTAAAAGTCAATAATTTTTTTAAAAATATATGAAATTCATAATTTTTTAAATTATAAAATATTTTTTATCATCATTATCATCATCATCTTGTAAAAGAAATATTAGTTATAATTTGTTTTATAAAATTATTCATATTTTAAATTAATTACCTTCAAAGTTTTCCTATACTAAATTATATGTATTGTGTAATTTCATGCAAAAATCAAAATTTGTCGAGTTATAAAATAATTTGAAAAAAAAATTAAATATTTTAATTCAAAAAAAATTTCACGCACGAAAAATAAATAAAAAATTGATGTTTTTACAAAAAAAATCATGATAACATAAATTAATTACATATTAGACATCATTTTAAATTTTTTTACAAAACTAACACCTGGTCTTTACACGTAACATAAGACGCGGTGCATGGGCTGTAATTTTCAACATGTGGCACCAAATCAGCGTTAAAATCACTGCTTGAGTCGCGTCTTTTTGTAAAAGATACTAAATTCGTAATATTTTCTCTAACGGTATCTGGCATGTATATAATTAAAAAAATGATGATTTTTTTAGAAAATCGCCACGAAGTAGGGTAGGTACTCATTTTGTCTAATTCAATTGTTGATTATCTAAAATTTAATAAATTGTCCGTTTCAATTTTTAAAAAATTATTATTATTTTTGGGAATACTGAAATTTAATATGACATCAACATAAGTACTTAAATATTCATTGTGAATATAAATATTAAATTATTAAAAAAAATTACCCTTTTATGTTGTATATTTTTTTTAAAAATCGCCGTAACTTCTCATTTACTATCTTATAAAAACTACATATTTATAATAAATAATACTATCAAGTATTCTTAGAAAAAATTGGAAATAAAAATTATATAATCAGACATATACAATATATTTTCACCCATAGTTCTAAATAGGTTGTAAATGAACTTAGCTTAAAAGAACGAGGTCGTATTTGTGTCCGTTTGTTTATTTTTAAATGTATTCATGGTCCAACATATCTGTTTAAAGTTTTAATATTATGATCATATTCATTTAGTTATTTTTATAGGTATTTATGTTCGTTCGTTTAACGTCCGTGAACATGCTCGTTAATATATTCATAAATTGAACAAAGTTAGTGTTAAAAAAATATGGTAAAATTACATCAATGTACTTAAACTCCTTAACCTTCACAATTTAAACTCCAAATTTCACCATGTGCTCAATTTAGTCCTTATTCGCCGATATTTAAAATGTAAAAAAATGGAAATCTCCTCTTTCATGAACCTTCTGCCAGGTTGGCAACTTATCGCTTCGGGGATTGCTCTGCAATAGTCATATACCTCTGCGATGGCTTCCTATCTGTTACTATGAATTATGGGTTGCGTCCCCACCGTTGGATGAATCCCCCGACCGGAACGTTTAAGATATACGTGGATGGAGCTTGCCCATCAACTTCTGCTTCCCCGGCTATTGGAATTCTCCTTCGTGATTGTGCGTCAGGTTATTGATGGTCGTGGCCTTCCTACACCTGGATATCGTCCATCCAATTTAGGAAAGCGTTGGCAATCTATCATGGTGTCCAAATGACGGTGGAAATGGCACTTCTCCAGCAGTTGTAGTAGAGAGCGACTCTATGAATGTCGTCCACCAGTTAGAGAACCCCCAGAGTTCACTAATTCATCCTCCTTGAAGCACACCAACTTCTGGATACATATCCTCATATTTCAGTTCGATTTGTTCGTCGTGAGGCTAATGGTGTGGTTCCTGCCCTTGCAAATTATGTGGCTATGACATCTGCTGCTATTTACTTCGAAACAGCAATTCCTGCCTGTATTGTTGATGCTGTAATTTCTGACACTCTTTACAATTAATGTATACCATTTATTTTTTTAAATGTAAATAAATAAAATAAACGAGTTTGTTGACGAACATAAATGAACGACTCGATAAATGAGATTGTTCATGAACATAAATGAGCGAGTCAATAAACAAACTTGTTCGTAAACATAAACAATTCAATAAACACTATGTTCATTTACACCCTATTATTATATAACAAATGTCATTTAAAAAAAGTTACTAATATTCTCAATCAAAATATAAACTCGTTAATCAAACAAACAAAATTTTATGCACAAATATAAAAAAATCAATAAATATAGTAAAATATAAAAAATACATAAAACATAATACTAAAAGTATAAAAAACACATAAAAATATAAAAAATACAATCAGTAATAAAAAAATATTTTCAATATCATCCATCTCATATATATACATTTCTTTTTAGTTAAGAAACATTTATTAAAAATTAATTAATACAATGAGATATGATCTTGTTACATAATATAAGATTATTTTAGTTTTACATAAATTTAAGATCGTTTGATGAATAAAAGTATATAATTAAATTAATAATAAAAAATGAAAAGATATTTAATGAAAAAAAATAAAAAATTAATTTCGACCATCTATTTTTACTTATCCAACCATTTTAAATCTACATAAAATTTTTAAAAAAAATATTGTGTAATTAGATTGTAACCTAACATCAAATCCAAATTCAAATGAATTCACACACAAATGATACATAAGTTCTTGAAAACCGTGACTCTGTCTGAGTCGGATAATCTGATGAAACAAACAGAACAAAGTAACTGACCTCAGAATCCCAAAAATCAGAATAAAAACAAATAAATAAACCGTCCCCACCAACCACCCACTTGCCCATTAAACAATACCAGGTAATGAAACTGAAAAACAGGGATCCAGCATTTGTACAAAACATTAAGCGTTTAAATACGTTAAATATCCCCATACTATTTCAAAATTTTAATTTTACTTCTTATTCTTTATTTTTATAAAATTGAATTTATATACAACTTTATCTTGATTTCCAGATTAAAATTTATTTTCCTTTATATTTATGATTTTTTTATCAATTTAATTATTAAGAAAATATGAATGTGGATGATTAAAAATTGTATTATTAAATGAATGATAACTATTTATTTAATTAAAAGTTAAGGGTCAAATTGATTAAAAATGATAAATTTAAATATTAAAAAATAATTTTTCCTTTTTATATACTTATCAATTTAACAGTTAATTATAAAATTAAACTAAAGATAAGGGAGAAATCAAGATTTTTGAATAAAATGTAGTATAATAATTTAATTTTTCAAAAAAGTATAAAGACTAGTATATTTTAAAATTTGAAATAGTATAGAGACCTTTAAGAGATTTAAACCAAATTAAGATTAGAAGCAACCTAGTCTACATTCATTGTTTTTTTTTTCAGTCAAACACACTCAAATCCCACGTTTCGCCGAACCCAGTTTTTCTTCTTTCTGAAACGGAAAGTGGTCCCCTCTTTTAGTTTGACCACTTTCCTAGCGATACCTTCACCGCCCTCCATTTACACGTATATAATCCCCTCACCTTCACTCTCTCTTTGCTACAATCAAAATACCAAACCAGGCAAAGATAAAGCAAAAAGTTCCAGTTTTTATCTTCTTTTCTTTTCATTCTTCAGTTCTGTGATTTTCGGACATGGGGTTTGATGATTCAGACAGGGTTACAAGACATGTGAAGATAAGGGAAGTATGGTCGGACAATCTAGAAGCGGAGTTCGATTTGATCAGTCGAGTAATCGATGAGTACCCCCTTTCATTTCCATGGACACTGAATTCCCGGGCATTGTTTTCAGGCCGAAAGTGGATCCGACCCGGCCTTACGGCGCCCAGTTTCGACCTTCCGATCATTACAAGATCCTGAAATCCAACGTTGATGCTTTGAACTTGATCCAAGTGGGTCTCACCCTCACCAATTCTTCGGGTAATCTACCTCACCTGGGGACGGACGACGAGCAGTTCATCTGGGAATTTAACTTCCGCGACTTCGACGTAGAGCGTGACGCTCACGCGTCCGATTCCATCGCCCTCTTGAGGAAGCAAGGGATTGATTTCGAGAAGAACAGGGAGATGGGGATCCACTCGGAACGGTTCGCCGAGTTGATGGTGTCGTCTGGGCTCGTGTGTAATGACTCGGTGAGTTGGGTGACTTTCCACAGCGCGTATGATTTCGGGTACTTGGTTAAAATACTCACGCGCCGCGACTTGCCCGGCGGCTTAGAGGAGTTCTTGAAGGTTCTGAGGGTGTTTTTCGGGAGCAGAGTTTATGATTTGAAGCACATGATGAGATTTTGTCAAAGCTTGTATGGTGGATTGGACCGGGTGGCTCGGACCTTGGATGTGAACCGGGCGGTTGGGAAGTGTCACCAGGCCGGGTCAGATTCCTTGCTGACGTGGCACGCGTTTCAGAAAATGAGGGAGGTGTATTTTGTGAAAGATGGGCCGGAAAAGCATGCGGGTGTATTGTATGGATTGGAAGTTAATTAAAAAAATTGTGTAATCACCTCATAATTTCATTTGATTAATTCGTTAAGTTGATAATTAGTCCTAAAATCGGCTATTCAATGATGCGTTAAATTCTACAAATCGAATAACTCTAAAATTTTAGTAATTACTAAATCAATTTCCAAGTTTGAGTCAAGTCTCTCGACTCTGTATGATATATATATATCACATATGAAAAAATATGAAGAAATATATATATATTGTATATGGTTATAATAAATCATTTAATTTAGAATAAAATAATATCATAATATTATAAATATTTATAATTAGATTTAAAAGACTTGACTCGACTCGAATTTTATAAAATTGACTTGACTTACAAAAAAAAATAAAGTCATGTTTGAATTATAAAATAGAACACATAAACTCTAATAACTCAAAAAATTTAACTGACTCGATAGAAAATTCACTCCTAATCACTAGTGTAGCGATGAATAAATTATGTAGGGCTCCTATATTATTTCTTTCTTTTAAATGGTTATATCAGTACATTTTTCATATAAAATTTAATGAGATACAGGTGATGTTTTTTCACGTGCATCACAACCGATAGATTTTTAGTTCGGTAAGATCAAATAGTCATAAATTTGGTATGCGTAAGAAAATTAAAGCATCACCATCGTACCTAAAAGAAGGTATATTGTCTCTTAAAGAAAATGGCTACGAGGATGAGGTTAGTTGAAAGATGATGAATAAATGCGTAGGGCACCAATTTGAACAAATGCCCTAAAAGAAGGCATAAATTAAGGGCCAAATTGAAGACAGTTAAGATATTAAAGCCAGTCTTCTTAATCAAATTTAGGACTTAATCTTTTTTTTGATAGGAAAATTTAGGACTTAATCAAAAGAAACTAATCTTGGTATGCTCAAATATTAGGTAATTTAATGAACTAAGAACTGAATTGAAAGAAACTAAAAATCAAATGGTCATGTTTGCTATTAATTCACGTTGAAAAGGCCAAATTGAATAACAAACAAATGTAGAGGGACTAAAACATAATTTATACATAAATAAAAATAAAAAAGCTTAATGGTACATGAGGCACTCAAACTTTTCCAAAAAATCAATGTGACCCCTAATTTTTTTTTTGCGCTCAATTTAGCCTTTTTGACCTACATAATCAAATGTTCACCACTACCATGCTATTGCTGACATGATAATTCACGACACTAATGTGAAAATTTATAATGGTTGACGATATGACAGATGAACTAAATTATTTTTTTTAAATTTAAAGGCCTATTTAATTTTTTTAGAAAATATAAAATTTATTCTAAATTTATAATTTAAAATATGAAAGTATTCAAATATAATAAAAATAAACTAAAATATCTAAATAATTAAAATTAAAATATATTATAAAATATTAAAAATATACATATTATGCATAATATATACATGTAACATATAGACGTAAAAACAAAATAATCATATTCATATAGACAAAATTAAAGTAACGTTTTAATTTACTAAATAATCATATACTTTTATATCATACATGTATGAACTAAATAATCATATGCATGCATCAATATACTTTTAATTTCATATATATATCAACCATCACTAAAGATTACATACACTTTTATATCATACATGTAAACATACTAAACATGATTTCATTATCATACAATCATATCAATAACACTTACAAAAAATATTCTTATTAGATTATTTTGATACTTACGAATTTTGTATCTAAATATAATTAAGTAACGTTACAAGTTACAAGTTGTTTGCATCAATACACACATCTAATCATATTTTAAACCGTCAACCCAATATAGTTAAGCACGTGTCATGTACTAATTAAAAAATGTCAACATCATTATATTTTTTTGCTTATTTACTTACTTAAGAAATATACATCAATTAATTTTTTTTTATTTTTTAAGAAGGTTCAATTTTAAAATTAATAAGTACGTAAAAGGTATTTAAACTAAAATATTTAAATTAATCAACTACAAGTTCAACATTTTAGATCAAAATATTTATTTTTTAAAATGTAGAAAGATTAAAAGGATCCTTTTATAATAGAAAGATAAAAGATGAACTTTTTATATAATATATATATACTTCTAGTGTATGTTTAATCCAATTTCTAATATATAAAAATTTAGGTCAAACTCTACAAAATATCCATGCATCGTGTGTTTTTACTTTATTATAATTTAATTATTTCCAATCATTTTCAGTGCTAAACTTAACCCTTTTTTCTTGAAATTTTTCTTACACATGACTAAATTGAGGAAAAACATATAATATTAATCTAATTATAAAAAAACATTTTATATGTCACGTTAATGTAATATTTTAAAACAATAAATCACGTAATTCATAGAAAACAAAGGTTAATCATAGTCAGTAAATATAAAAAAAGTACAAATTTTTTAAAATAGATATTATCAAATAATTATCCCACGTTATTTTTTTTAAAAATTACACATTTTCGAGATATTAAAACTAATCAATGCGACTAAATTTGCACAAAAACGTATAAACCACAAGCGTAAGATGATTTACCAAATAACAATTACGTGCGCAGAGCAGTTTTGACTTCGTCTATATACCAAGCAGGGCAGCTTCTTCCCACGTGCGAATTGAATGTATTCACATGCCGCGATCTCTGTCTAGCTCTCCACCATGAACCAAGCATGGTTCCTGATCCGCCACGGTAACAATCCGGTCCCGGATCTCTGTGAAAGCCTCGACGATAAGACGGTGGTGACACCGAGAATTCAGTTCCAAGAAGCACCGAAGCAGCTCCTGGAGATCATCTTCGGAGTAGATTCGTTTCTCCACGATCATTTGAAGCATGGAATGTCGAAAATCATTGTACGGGTCGTTGGAATCCTTCACCACGGCGATGCTGTCGACGATTTTATAGCAGTGGCGGGCGAGGTTTGGTTTGGGAAACGTTTGGAGATCGGGTAAATCGGAATCGGAGTTGAGATGATCGGTGATGGACGATGATGATATGGTGTCGATGTTGTTGAAAGAGAAGGAAGTGGATGTGAGATCATCGTCTTCGATCGGGGCGTTTGATGGATTTCGGGGCGGTTTTGGGGTTTTGGGTTTTGGTTCGTAAGCGTCGGAAAGCTTGGGTCTGCTACACCCCCAGCCTGCATTGAGTATGAACAGGGTTTTCCATATCTTTTTCTTGTTGGAAGACATTAGAGAGGAGGGAGAAGAAGATTATAAATTTAGTATAACTGAATTGGCAATGATTTAGATTTGTATTGTCTACCAGTTCTTTTTCAACGTTTTTTAGCCTGAATCCTGATAGCTACTCCTACTCCCGACTTTTGTTTAAATTTATTTTTAAAAATATATTTTAATTACGGATCAAGTTCGTAAATGATCCTTTAATCAATGATGTTTTGTTGAGTTTTTCGATATTATTTGTTGAGTTCTCAATATATTTTTGAAAGAGTGAGTCTTCTAATAATTAAAAGTTACAAAATTGTCACTCGATTATTTATATGTTTCAAACTTATCTTTTTTTAAATTAAAATTTAATGATCGTTTGAGTTAGACGTTAACATGTTGATTGAAATATGATAAATTTATATCTCGAAACTGTTTGAATTATATTTTACGAATTGATTCTCTATTTACAAACTATCAAATCAAAGCTTGAAATATAAAATCGTCGAACTAGAACTTAAAAGCAACGATGGTACTTAAAAACTCTTGAAGTTGGGCTATGGAAGGTACTTAATCCTACTTTTTTCCTCAGTACTTTCGTATGTTTAATTTTGTCAGCTCAACTGCTAAGAAACCACAAATTTACTCTATGTTATTTTAAAATCCTCAAAATCCATTAGGTAACTTCAATAAATAAATAGACGTTGTTTTCTTTTAAGGTCTTGGGTTTAAGTAGTTGTGTTAGTATGGTGTGTGTACGTTGTCAATAGTCAAGAAAGACTATGGATATATATTACATTGTAATCACCATAGATTATTTTAAAAAGGAAAAACAAATCCTCTAGATGGCCTCAATGAAATAAGAAAATATTATTTTTTCTTAAAGATTTCGGATTTAAGTAATTTTGTACATAAGAATTATAAGTTTATATCTAAATAAGAAAAAATTTACTTGGCAACCTCTATTACTCTCTCCTTGATATCGTTCTCCCTTTGTTATGCACTCATCAGTGCAGGCTTTGATGTTCAAGCATTGCTGCAAAAGGTAAACAAAATCCATATGTATATATGCATGTGTTGCAAATTTCCTTTAATGTTTCATTTCATAACTTGTGATGATGAAAGGGTTTAGAGGACAAACCGTTAGCGGGGATTTTTCAGGTGGGAATCTCGACCGATGAGATCGGAGGGAGAGCGGGGATTTGCTTTGGCATATGCTTCACACAAAGCTGATTCTCCTACAAGGTTTCCTTCAATTGTGTCTCTCACCCCCATTGTTGAGAGCTGGGTAGAAAAGAAGGTTGAAAAAATGAGGGTGAGAGCATATGTCTGCAATGACCACGATACCCTTAATGACCACAATAACACTCAATATGTCTACAATCACGACAACGTGATGTAATTGAAAGCGTGACTATAATCGTAATTTAAATATCTGAACTGTGCACTTCCAAATTCAATGCCCATGTCTCGTCATATGTTTAGTGTGCAATTAAAATATTTCCAGTAGCTTAAGTGTGAAGATTAAGGAGGCATTGAAGGATCCAAAGTTAAATACCAGATTGGTTTTACCATAAATGATTATATAGACATTTTCAAAATTCAACCAAAATGACACTTCATTTGAGATGGAAATACAACTGATGCTGTATTTAACACAGTCAAAAACAGCAATAAAAGCAAACTAGAGTGCAGCACAAAATGAAGTATTATTGCATGTACATGCACCTGATGGGAGAAAAAGATGGTTAAACTGTATTAATTTTCCATCAAGCACAAATACTAAATAACAAATCAATGATATATCATATGGTTACATCATATTTTCACACCAATTCTAATATTCATCATCATTGAGAAGCCTACCCAATTCCCTCAATTACTCGAGTAAGCTGTTTCAAGTTTGTTTTGATGTGATCAGAAGCTATAAAAGAGAAAGAAACTCATCATTCTTTCTACCTTTCTGATTTCACCTTTCAATCAAATTTCCCAGTAAAAAGATATAAAGATGGTTGATGGTGAAAAGTAACTGCATATGACATTAGGAGATTCAGTAGAAAAAATAACATGACATTGACTCAAACAAATGCTACAGGACAAAAATCGACTTGTGATCAGATTGCATTGCTACAGGACAAAAATCGACTTGTGATCAGATTGCATTGTCATGTCATAATCTGTGGTACATGCAATGCAGTTCATGCTTCCATTTTATACAAAAATCAATTAATTTTGGGTTTAATTACTTTTTGATGATCCTCATTCTCATGTTTTGTTTTTATTTTTCATTTATAGTTAACACAGTACTATGTCATTACCGTCTGTTTTGGTGTCAGTGTACACTGTGACAGATGTGTGGATAAGCTTTTGCAAGATGGCAATATGAGGATAAAAAATATTTCTAATAAACTTTGAGATTCTGTTTCATATAAGAAAAAACATAAGTTTATGGATGAAAATTGTTTACATTTTAATCTTAGTTTATCCAAATCCAACTTTATAATACATCTTATTATTATAGTATCATCCCATTGGCCTTATTATTCTTGAAAGATTACGTCAAGTTAGTTAGATGTGACAATCGCTTAGATTTTGGCGGATACCCTTTGATTTATGCTTGGGTGTTTTAAAACTATTTTTTTTTAGATTTTAGTCATTTGCTAGTTTATTGGTAGATTAGCCACTTAAAAAGTATTTTTGTAGGGGAGAGAGTTGATCACGAAGGATGAAGAAAACAATATAGAGGCCGTGAAGATTTTTTTTCCAGTCTCGATTAGGAGTATTCGTAATAACTTATGATTATGTTCCGATAAGTCATGTGAACTTGACAAATGATCTTGTTTATGTATTATACTTGACTAAGAAGCCTGTCCCCGAAGGATAAGGCATATTGGAGGCTCCCTTAAGCGAAAGGAAATGTTTGGAGATCTTGACTGACTTATAGAATACTTATAGTTTCAACAAGTCCAATCTGACTGAAATTTAAAAGTTTTCGGAGATCCTCTTTGTAAGTATAGCAAAACTCTAAAAATTTAGTTGACAAACCCAAGACCCGATCTAAAATATATCATAAACAATCAATTTGTTAAAGATTACTTATGGCCTAACAAGAATAGTGAGGACTAGTTCCAACCATACCTAACCACAATAATTCCGAAGCGGCTATGTAAGCAGGTGAAGTAATAATGCATTAATTGCGTATAACATGGCATTGCCAAATCGTTACAGCTTCAAGAACATTGCTGGGACCAGGAATTGGTCTTTAGCCATTGAATGGAGTATCCCAAGAATGAACAAAGTTTCTCAACTCAACTAAATGAGTTTACCGAATATTTACTCTTTAAATTAACCTTAGAGAACGTGAATCGAATTACTCAATCCTTTGTTCCCATGGAACAGGACCCAAAAACTGTACTCGTACTCTCATCGAAATCAAAGTTTAATTTGAAGGAAGTTGCAGAAGCAAGAAGATTAAACATGATAGATATATATATATATAAGTCATAACAATTAAGGAAAAGATAAACTAGTCAAGAGAAATATCGACACTGCAACTTTGAACAAGCTGATACTTCATGGCTAGACCTACTTGGATGGCCTTAGTTCGATCACTAAATGAAATGTAAGCTGGACAATTGACGTTCATTTGATATCGACCTGAAATCCAAGTCCCAACCTTCCATTTCAATTCCCCGAACACTTTGACGTTGAGCAGCACCATACCGGCATTCATGTCCTGGTTCAGACCTACCTCGAGAAATTTAGCCACCGGCACGGCATTGCCTAACAAAAATGGGGACCAAACAGTGACGTCCTCATGGCCCTGGTAGGTTCTCGGGATCAGCGTCGGTAGAGTTATCTGCTGGTTACGGTACGATGCCAAGACATCAAGTCTTTGGTAGTAAATGCCGATCCTGTCGTTGGGGTTCCTCGAGGCTAAGGTGATCTGCATGTTTGAAGTGAGGTAGTTGGGGGGTGTGAGGTTGAAAGCATAGATGGTTACATCTTGGAGGATGAAATGGGGCTTGGCAGGGTGGAGGATTGCCCATACAAGGAAAATGACTATGGCTAAGACGATTAAGAACCCGAGAATGGCTAATGATACGCGCTTCGCGAGCTCACGGTTGTCGTCGTGGCGGCCGCAGTCCTTGGAACCCATGATGGAGATGAGAAGATCTGAGGAACGGTTTTGGAAGGAGAGGAAGAATGGAAGTAAGATGAGAGTGATATATAGAGAGGTGTGTGTGTGTAAGATTGGGGTATTAATTTAACGTGCAAGCAAATATATTTGTTGTGTATGATTGGGAGTTGAAGAGTAAGAGGCGAGATGGGCGGTGCAAAATGAGTGTATGCTTAGTGAGACCTTATCTTGGTGGGTGCATCCTCCTTTTACTTCAAGGCAATTGTCGCATTTGGAGTTGGACTGGACCCACCAAGAATTCAACTCTCTTGGAAACCAAAATATGAAAATGGAATGTTTAATTTTACATTTGTGCAATGATGCATTTTACATACAATCCTAAGATTGGGTTAAATGTGATACTATTTTTAAAATTTTCAAAGTAAAAACAAATTTATGAAATTATGAATCGTATCAAATCAAATATTTAAATATTAAATTTAATTTTTGTAACCTCGCCGATGGTGACGAACATACTATAATTGGAATAAAAAATGATTTCGTATAATGAGATTTAGAAATCATTTCTGATTTTGAACGACGTCATACAAAAATAAAGTGACGACCAATTAGTGAGAGTTAGACAATGAAAATATTGACTGGTGATGATTTATTTGACGATAACATATAGACGACCAATTAGTGAGAGTCTGACAATGAAAAGATTGACTGTTGATGACTGATTTGACGATAACATATAAAATTTAATGGTTGTTTAGAGTTAATGTCGTTGGAGATTTTGGATAATTTAAAAATTTTAGATTTTTTTCTTAAAGATTAATGATTATAATTTTTAAAATTTAAATAAATTTAAAAAAAAATCATTTTATGTGTCAAAACACATATTAGATAATAATTTTTTTAATAATAATTAAAGGTTAAAACATAAAGTTTATATTTAATATAAATTAATTGACTTAATTTTTAAATAAAAATTGAATAATTATAATAAATTAAGTAAAAATATACATAAACTAAAGTTTGTTATTGAAATAATTAAAATGTGATCAATAAAATTACACAAACATAATAAAAATATTAAAATACATAAAAATATTTTTTTATTAATTTAGGATGATTACAATATATAATATATGTTCTAAAGATTCTCGAACATTTGATAACGAAAATTCAAATACCCTTGGAGTTTATGTTGCTCAAACTTGTAACTTTTAAGAATAACAACTATCTTTTTAACTAGTGAGATAACTTAGTATTATAATTTCACTTAATTATTTTACTCACTAATTTCATCTAACATATCAGTCGAGTCGATCCAATTTGTTCTTATCTATAGATAACGCAAGAGAGAACTTATGACTTCGCGAATGGAGAGGGATTTGAACCCTCGGTATTCCTATTAATATTTCAGTTTTCAAGACTGACTTTTTCAACAGCTCAGACATCCATCCCTTTTGCGCTTCGCCCGCCTTATCTATCCGCGTGCTGGCAGGTAGGGGCTTATCTATGTGATTACATTACGAGCTATTCGTAGACGTTATATACTATTAAGTTTCGTACGCATGTAATGCATTGTATGTCCCATAATAGGTCCCATTCTTCTACTCTTTCTGGGGAGTCGATGACTATTCATGGCGATTACCTTGACATCGAAGAAGAGTTCGACCCAATGCATTATTTCTGTTCTAGTTGATCCTGATTCGACATTAGAAGTATATTGATTTTTCACCAATTATTGAATACGTTTTAACCGAAAGAAGTTCTTGAGCAATTCATGCCTTTATGTTTTTTATGACTAGAAATTGTTTCTTGATTGTCATTTCAAATTGTTCTCTGGACTTTTATCAATATGAGGTGATCGTAACACAGTTTATAAGACTCGTGATTCAGGCAATCCAATCTTCCGTGAGTAAGGCATAAGCCCCCAAAAAAGATTTTCCATAAATGGTTGATCAAAAGATCGAATCACTAGTCGTGTCTTGGTAGTCGTTACTTTTGGTGGTCTTTCTTTTTGGATGACTCCTCTTCCTGTACTATTGATTAAAAAAAGCATCCAACAACACCACGCCAGTAGAAAGAGTTAAACTACTAAGCTAAGCTGCTGTTGGGGAACTTGGTCGTTAACCAACGGCGCTAACCAAAACCTCTTTGGTCTTGACCCACGGTTTAATTGATTCATATAATAAATTTATGTGTATTTATTTATTTATAGTGCACATTTTATCTTTTACATGCAAAATAATGGTTAAACCAAATATCAACTCACGATTTATTTATCTTTATATAAATATCGATCTTCTCGTTGGAGTTCCTTGAGGCGAAGGTGATCTGCATGTTTGAAGTTGAAAATGACTATGGCAGGGTGAAATAAAATGACTATGTCATTGGGGTGTGAGGTTGAAAGTATAGATGGTTACATCTTGAAGGATGAAATGGGGCTTGGCAGGGTGGAGGATTTGCCCATACAAGGAAAATGACTATGGCTAAGATGGTTAAGAATCCGAGAATGACTAACGATACGTGCTTCACTAACTCTTAGTTGTCGTCGTGGTCGTGCCGACCGCAGTACCTGAAACCCATGTTGGAGATGAGAAGATTTAAAGAAGGGTTTCGGAAGGAGAAGAAAAATGAAAGTTAGATGAGAGTGATATGTAGAGAGATGTGTGTTAAGCTTGGGTGCATGGATACTAATTTAATGTGCAAGCAAATATTTTTTTCTTGTGTTATGAGCAGTGGTGGATACATGCACGTCTTTATCATGAAATTTAATTTTTTTTCATTATTTATTTATTTTATTTATTGTGTCCACCTAAAAATTTTATTGGTGTCCATCTATATAAAAATTATATATATATATATATATATATATATATATATATATATATAACAACACTCACCTTTAAAAGTATTTCTAAAACTATAAGCAATTATGATTGAAAATTGAAGTTGAAGAATCTAAGGGGAGATGGGTGGTGCAAAATGAGTGTTGTTGAAAACTTCGACCAGTCCAACTCATCCACTATAAAGCATATAGGATATATCACTAATACTACAATAACTTTTTGATGTTGGTTAGCTTTTAATTCTATAAATTCTTAGTGCACAACAATATTTAGGCGGCTGGACCGATCATATATTATTTAAGTGGCAAAGCCGACCATATATTAATCAGACGGTATAACCAATAATATATCAATCAGGCGGCGGAACCGACCATATAATAAAATTAACACAAGTGCACTATGAACTTAAAACAAATCAAGGCTTAATTAGAAACTTAATAAAAGGTAACACTTTTTATTGATACAAAATACAATTACAAAACTATACACTTACTCCACTACTTTTCTCTTCTCTACCTTTTGGCACCTTTTTCCTTCATTTTTACTCTTACTACAATGGTAAAACTCAATCATATTTATAGACTAGTGACTATGGATTGTTGACACATGTCAATATCTTAACTATTTAATAGTACAAATATCTAGATTCTTTTAATAAATAATTATAGATATAATATTAAATATTGCAAATATTTAAATTATTTTATAGATACTTTTACACATACATTCTTTTCATATTATTCTAAAATATTCTTAATATATATATATATATATATATATATATATATTAAATGATACATATAGATTTCCTTAGAATTTGCATTGAATTTTTAACAAGTGGCTATGTTTATTGAGACCTTATCTTGGTGGGTGCATACTCCTTTTACTTCAAGGCAATTGTCGCATTTGGACCTACCAAGATTTCAACTCCCTTGAAACACAAATATGAATATGGGATGCTTAATTTTACCTTTGAGCAATGATGCATTTTACATACAATCTTAAGATTAGGTTAAAGAAAACATTTCCAAGGCATATTATTTCTAAATATAAGTCACATATTTTATATGTAGAGTGCATTGCAAGTGAATTATGTTAAATAAGTTTAAAATATGACCTCATATGATATGTTTCTATGACAAATACCAATAATTTATTTGATAAGATTAATACCTCAACAAAATATTTGAGATAAGTAATATAGTGTATATTTTTTAATAGTCTGGAATTATTATAACATAATATTTATTTAGAATTCTTTTAATATGTTGACAATATACATATATTCTACAAGCATAACTGTTCGAATTCAGAATCTCTAAAAAAATATAAAAAAAAAATTACCATTAAAATCACTTGATAAGTTCAATCCAATATACCTTCTGATCAAAGACATTCATCCCGTAAAGTATGAAAATGGATGCAACTAGGGATGGGCATGGGACCCGAACCCGACGGTTCCAATCCGATCCGATCGGGTCGGTTTTTATTTTTAGGTTCGGGTCGGGTCGAGTTTAGGGTAAAAAATACCCGACTTGAAAAAAAAATATAATTTTACCTTATATATTTAAGAATAAATACAATAATATCCTTTTATATATTATCTTTTTCAATTAAGTCACTGATTTTATTGAATAAAAATATTTTTTTATTATTTCGGGTCGAATCGTATTTTTAAATTATATATCGAATTAGATTCACATCGGGTCGAGTGGACCAAAAATCTGACTCAACCCGACTCATACACCGCGCTTAATTTTATCGCATTGTGGAAAAGAGCAATGAAAACGTGTTGGCATTATTGAAACAAAACATCATGTTACTACTTACTGACCATTCTTCGCGAAATTAGTGTAGAGGTTTAAACACAAAGTTCATGTTAATATAAATTAAATGAATTAATTTTAAATAAATTAAATTAATAAATCAATAAATTAAAATCACCAAAATATTTTAATAATGTGTTGATTTTTTTCTTTTTGGCTGTATAAGATGTAAGAAAAAATATTTTCAACTAAATTGTTTATTATAATATTTAAAAAAACGTCTGAATCACCTGATAAAATTTAGAAATCAGGTGGAATGTAATGTTTTCTCGAGGTTTTATGCATATACAAATACAAATATGGCTTCAGAAGTCACCATGTAATTTGGATGACTTTCACCAAATACTATATAATAAATATTCTAATTGAAGAAATTATTTTTTTCGTTAACAAATATTCAAATTGAAGAAATGAATTTTTTTATCTAATATAATAAAAAAAATTCAATATATTACTCAAACAGTTTTACCTATTAAATTTTTTATTAAAAAAATAAAATGTAAAACGATAAAGTTATACAAACATAATATAAATATTTTTTTCATGTAATACATAAAATGAGATACTAAATAAACGATTTTTAAAAATAAATTCATAACAATTAAAACACATAAAAATATGATGTGTGACACCATGATAAATTATGTAAAAAGATAAAATGAAGCAATGGATAATATAAACATAACACTTAAAAAAGTAATCTTTAAATTAAAATAGCATACGGGACAACACTTTCGTATCGTAATATTCAAAGCAGGTAAGAAGCTAGATTGAACTTAAAAAAAAAAACTTACGGTAAATCAACCAACGGTGCATCTTTTAGGTCCACCGGTCATCTTCCCCGACGAACCAGTCAACGTTACGTCATCACACCAAAACCTAAGCAACCTTCGCCTTCCTCTCCACCCTCCGTACTGAAACGCCACGTCTGCCACCACCTTGACGTTGAAACTGACCCGGTCGCGACTCCTCTCCCCATTCATTGCGTCCACCACCCTCCCGTCCACGAAAGAATCCACAACGGAATAACTCGCGTCTAACGTCCTCACGTCTCTCGTGCCCTGCGAGAACGGACCGATCCTCGTCTCGGCCAAGTAGTAGTCGCCGTGGAAAATCGACGAGATGACGTCGCCGTAGGTGATGGACAGTTTTTTATTGGGATTTGAGGCACGGAACTGTGCGCTCCACGTTGCGCTCACGCGCTGGTTCGAGGCGTTGAAGTTGGAGAGGGAGAGGGATTGGACCGAGAAGTCAGGGAGGTGGGGGCGGAGGACGAGCCAGAATATGAGGAGTATGATGCCGAAGATGAATAAGAGGAAGGCCAGGGCGATGAAAAAGCGGCGGAAGAAGGTTTGGCGTCGGTATTGAGGCGGCGGCGGCTCTGGGTAGTAAGGGTATGGGTTGGAATTAACGTACGGGTAGGTAGTAGCGGAGGTAGTCGTATGTGGTGGCGGAGCGCAGCCATTAGCGTTGTGTACTGGGTAGCCTGTAACTGGTGTGGAAGACTGTTGCATTTTGATAATTTTATATATATAAATAAAAATAAAATTATATTGGTGGGGTTAATGGGTTTTAATAAGAAATTATTTGATTGAGATTGCGTGATTACCACGAGAGTGGGAACTGAAAGAGATGAACTTTAGGTAAACCAAAACGCTAAGATTTCACCAAGTGGCGTAGAAAGTATAAATTCTTGCTGATGTCAACGTCTTTCAAATTAAAAAAAAAATAATGTTAAAAATATGATTCTAATTGGGTGAATTCACGAGATAATGTTCTCGATTTTTTTTTTCACGATATGGTGCACATCCCAGATTAATTGCTGGAATGGGGTGAATTATACAGTGGTCTTGGAGGTCGCCATGCAATCCAGGCGATCTTGTAGGACGCCATGCAATCCAGGCGACATACGGGAACATACGAGCCAATGGTTCTCCCCATGCATACGAGCCATACGAGCCAATGGTTCTCCCCATGCATACGAGCCATACTCCCCATGCATACGAGCCATACGAGCCAATGGTTCTCCCCATGCATACGAGCCATACGAGCGTTCTCCCCATGCGAGGTGGCCAAACGGGGTGACATACGGAGTGACATACGAGCCATACGAGCCAATGGTTCTCCCCATGCATACGAGCCATACGAGCCAATGGTTCTCCCCATGCATACGAGCCATACGAGCGTTCTCCCCATGCGAGCCATACGAGCGTTCTCCCCATGCGAGGTGGCCATGCAGTGGAATAGAGAGGTCGCCATGCAGCCTAGGCGACCTTGTAGGTCGCCATGTAGTCCCGGCGACCTTGTAGGTCGCCATGTAGTCCCGGCGCCATTCCCATCATCATCCATTCACATGCAGCCATATAGATTCCTTCACATGTAGTCCCGGCGCCATTCCCATCGTCCATTCCCATCATCCATTCACATGCAGCCATATAGATTCCTTCACGTGTGCATGCTGCATGCCTACAGCTCCCAATGAAACCATGTGAACCATTGCTGCATGCATGTGAAATAATTGGTACAATAATTGAACCATTGCTGCGTGAAATATCATAGCTGCAATTGTACAATTATTGGTGAAATAATTAAGGCAGTCGGTTGGTGAAATAATTGAGGCAGCCGGTTATAAAAGAAAGAAAGAAAGGGAGAAGAGATTGTAGAAGAAAGGGAGAAGAGATTGCAGCCGAGAAAGAAAGAAAGGGAGAAAGGAAAGAAAGAAAGGGAGAAAGGAAAGAAAGAAGAAGAAAGGGAGATAAGGTAAATTTTTTTGTATTTAAATTAGTTTATTATTATAAATGTTTAATTTGTTAGTTTAGGGTTTAGGGTAAAACAAAAAGCAGCTAATTAGTTTGTTAGTTTAGGGTATATGATTGTTAGTTTAAGTTATAGTATACATAAATTAAAAATTATTTAATTAGTATATGTTTGATAGTTATATAGTTAAAAATAATTAATTAGTTTGTATTGTTAATAGTTAGTTATATAAAAAATTATTTAATTAGTTTGTGTTAGTTAAATAGTTAAGTTATATTGTTTGTTGAATTTATATTATATAAAAATTAGTTAGTAAGTTTATTAGTAGTATATTATAATGAAAAATAGTTTATTAGTTAGTTTTAGTTATATAGAAGAATATTTTATTAGTTGTTTAAGGGTTTAGCGTTTACGTTTAACTTATATTTTAAAAAGTTTAGTTTGTTAGTTTATTAGTTTATTATATTATAAGCTATTATATTAAAGTTTAGTGTTGTAAATTAGTTAGTTAGTTTATATTAGATTATATTAAATGATTTTTTAAATATTGTTGTTTAATTTTTTTTACAGATTCATTCCAATGGCTGACCAAATTCCACTGTTGAGGCTTGACAATGAACATATTTCAAGTCATTTGGGAATAATGGTGAATAAAATATTTGTTTAATGAATTATAATTAATAAATATTTGAATATTATTTTATGATTGTGATAATTTTTTTGAAATATTTAATTGTAGGAGGACGAGCAGCGAGTCCTTCGTCTTTGACTACATAAAGTGCCCAAGCCACACCCACTAATAGAAGAAAATTTGCAAGAGGCTGGATTTTGGTATATCACATTTGTGCGAGATTACAAGTTGGTCCCAGGTTTGATCAGTGCGTTGATTGAACGTTGGAGACCAGAAACGCACACGTTTCATTTGCCGTGTGGCGAATGCACGATAACTTTGGAGGATGTGGCAATGCAACTCGGGGTCCAAACTAATGGGATGCCGGTGGTAATGTCACATGAGTTTAATAAGGTGGAACAACTTTGCAACTTGTTTCTTGGGAAAGCGCCCGTACCACCAGAGTGTAAAGGGTGGCGGGTGAGGTTGTCATGGTTGAAGAATGAATTTCAACTTCAATCAAATAGTACGGAGCATGAAATTATATATGCAACACGAGCATATATATTACAATTGATTGGGGGAATTTTGATGCCTGATAAATCCGGTAGTTATGTTCACACTCAGTATCTTCTTTTTTTAACAAATTTGAGAATTGTAGGCAATATAGCTGGGGTTCGGCGATATTGGCGTTCTTGTATCGTGAGATGTGCAAGGCGTCATTAGTCGTGAATGATAATAATACAGTAGAAATCGGTGGATGTCTATTGCTGCTACAATCATGGGCTTGGAATAGACTTCCGTTTTTGACACCGATTAGTCGGACTGCGGTTGACTTTCCACTTGCCGGAAGGTAATATGAATCCTCTATTTTAATATAAAATATTAATTAAAAAATATTTATTTTGATTAAAATTATTGAACAAAATGTCTCTATTTTTGTTTTGATTGATATACAGATGGAGGCATAAAATTGAAGGCACAGGGTTGGTGCACAACAACATTAAAGAGTTCAGGTTGAAGATCGACATTAAGGCCAAAAAGGAGGTATGCATAATTTGTATTTTTTAATTATTATTTAAATTAACTATATCTGATTTAAATAAATTTTATTGTTTTTGTAATTTTACAGTTAATTGGAGACCATACATGAATGAAGAATTATTTGCGTTGATACCGCACGATATTTTAGATGGGTTTCAATATTGGTGTGCTGTTACACCATTGATCAATTTTGCTTTTGTTGAGATCCAATTTGGGGATAGAGTGCTGAGGTAATTCCACTTCCACCAACCTATTCCGCGGAGTCCATGGGATCATGACCTCCTCCAAAACTTAGATGGTCGTCGTCCAGTGAATTGGGTTGAGACGCATGACGACCTGCACAGATTTGATGGTCGTCGTAAAGAAAGCGTTAATTGGGTTGAGAAGCATGCAACCTACATTAATGCTTGGAACAATAGGGCTTCATTCATGCCAACTCTTGACACCATTCAAGACGACGACTTTAATTTTGAGACTTCGGCTTACCTTGCTTATTTTTTGGATAATGGAAAGCGTTCCTCACAACAATAGTAGAGAGGCGACAATTTTTGAGGTTTAAGAAAAGATTTGGTAAAGCTGAATACTCTCTACCGAGTGGAGTGGGAGTTCATCTCTACAACTGAAGCGGAAATGACCGATGTGGATAATAGCGCACCACAATCGTTGCATCACGCAGTTGATAATTCTACTGGCCCGGCATACATACCAGAGTTTGTGCAGCCTGAGGCACCCATCTATTCTCCTACGTTTTCGTCGACGTATGACTTTGAACACATGACAGTTCAAATACCCCCAATGAATGAGGGGGATGGGTACAATACTCCTGAGCCACAACGGCCACAACGTATCAGACGTCCGCCCCGACATTATCATTCAACAACACCCCGACATCGACAACAATTGTAAACTCGTTTGCTATTTATTACAAATTATTTATTGAAATTAGACTACTTTTTTTACCTTAACAATGATTTTTAGTATCAAATCATTACTAGTATCAATAATTAAATATTTAGTAATCAACTATTTTAAATCATTAGTATCAAATAATTAAATATTAACAATAAATCCTTATTAATAATAATTAGTAAATCATTAGTATCAAATCATTAAATATTTAAAAATCATACATAAATTCGACTATGTATAAATTTAAACTCAGTAATCCACACTTGTACACTCATTTGTTAGTATTCTAAATAATAACTAAATAATTATTATAAAATCATGATTATAATGATTATTATCAAATCATTACTAAATCATCAAATCATTAAATATTTAAATCATTATTAAATCATTTTTATAATGATTATTACTAAATCATTATTATAATGATTATTATCAAATCATTACTATAATGATTATTATCAAATCATTGCTAAATCATCAAATCATTAAAAATTTAAATCATTATTAAATCATTTTTATAATGATTATTACTAAATCATTATTATAATGATTATTATCAAATCATTACTATAATGATTATTATCAAATCATTACTAAATCATCAAATCATTAAATATTTAAATCATTATTAAATCATTTTTATAATGATTATTACTTAATCATTATTATAATGATTATTATCAAATCATTACTATAATGATTATTATCAAATCATTACTAAATCATCAAATCATTAAATATTTAAATCATTATTAAATCATTTTTATAATGATTAATAAATACATAGAAATACATATATGATTACTAATGATGAGGCCTATATCTTGGTAAATTAGGACAATTGTTTTTTGAATGGCCTTCACCCCTACATAATCCGCATCTCTTTGCTTGACCTCTCTCTATAGCATGAAAATCCATACTGGTATGAATTCGAGTGGACTCAGGTCGACCCTTTGGACTTCTGCGAAGCATTGGATTTGGTAGCCATTCATCATGATCCTTTTGGGCCAATGATTCATTTGGGATCTGTCTGAACACATAGCTGTAGACATTTAATATCCTACGTAGGTGGAAGCATTTATAAACATAAGTGTATGCGCTTACACCAGCATACATACATGCAGCGACTGCATGAGCACATGGATATTTCCATGCCTGAAAACGACCACAATCACACCATTTGTGTCGTAAATCAACTCTAAATGTTTGGTCT